TGGTCTGAGTCTGCAAAACAGAAATATGACTACCAATTGCTGCACATCCGCATTTTGTTACTGCTGTGAAAATGCAGGGACGGCAGCTAACAGTAATAGTAATTTTGGGAAATATGTTTTTGTTTTCGAGCGAGAAATACAAGCTTCGGTTCTGTAGGTGGACGTCTCTTGCGGCAGAAGCCTTTGAACACCGCTGAGTGCACAGTGAATCATGACAGCTGTTTCTAAGAACTGGATGCAGTTTCCTCACTGTCTTGGATCTGTGCTGTGCTCTGCGCTGCTCGTGTTCTCTCCTTTCCCTTCATTTGATTCCTGGAAAGCTGTAGTAATGTGTTTGAAAGTGTGTTCAACAAAAACTCCTGAAGAGAACAGTTGCTCCTGCCATGCCTAAATGAGAGGATGTTTGGCTATGAAAAAATAACTGTACACTGAAGCGAGTTTGACACAGCCAGGGTGTTTTTGTATGAACTGGCTCGACAAAACCTAAAACCCTATTCAGAGATAATGGGCATCCCGGCAGTAGTAACCAACTTTCTTCATTAACTCAGGTTTTCTTCACCAGGTTCTGTGCATAAAAGGGAATGTTGGACATGTCATTTGATTCTTACTTCTGCACAAAATGGACCAATTTTGTGCCCTAGTTGTGTAAGTTACTGCTCGGTGCACTCTCAATGCAGGCACCTATTTCACACACGACAACTGCACATGAGAGCTCTTAAACGTCATATATTTAAACACAATACTCTGTAATTGCATTTCCCATTATCAAGGATGGAGTTTGCATGTTCTCCCCGTGCAGCGTGGGTTCTCTCCGGGTTCTCCGGCTTCCTCCCACACGGTCCAAAAACATGTTGAGGTTAATTGGTGATTCTAAATTGTCCGTAGGTGTGAATGTGAGTGTGCTTGGTTGTCTGTCTCTAAGTGTAGCCCTGTGATAGACTGGTGACCTGTCCAGGTGTCCCCTGCCTTCACCCTGAGTCAGCTGGGATAGACTCCAGCCCCCCAAGACCCTAGTGAGGACTAAGCGGTGTATAGATAATGGATGGATAGATAATGAAGGATTGGCCAAATCAAAGTGAAATTAATGTCACTGATTGAATATTCTCTGATACCAATAGAGTAATCCATTTTCTAATGTCTGTTTCATCAGCTGCAATACCAACAACGTAAAACAGACTTGGCAGCAAATCAGGACCAAGCATCAAAACATATTAATGCTTTTCTGCATCACCAACTGAATGTATGTAGGGTCAACACAATGCATCGTGTGCCTACTGTAACTGCATGGCTTTGTTCAGTGACATTGCTAACATCCGGATCAACAGGTTAGCAGTTAGTAAAAAAACATAGTATTGTTATGGCTACTGGGGATTGTCATTGTTTATTAATTAGGTTGTTTTTTGGTATTTAGATAAACAGAGATCACCAAAATCATTGCTTTTTTTCCCGAGGGGGATATCGATGTCAATGCCAATTTCTGAGTTGTCAAAACACATCACTCGAAAACAGTCAGTAGGATGCATCGTCTGGAAACGATCTGCATCAAAGTTTGTGCAAATCCATCCATCTATTATCTATATTCCGCTTAATCCTCACTAGGGTAAGTTTGTGCAAATCCATCTGGTAAATATTTTACAAGATAAGTTTACCAGCTTTAACTGGTTGTCACCAACATGAATATCTGTACAAAATTTCACAGTAATCTCAATTTCAATCCTGAAAACATACTGACATTTTCTGTTCTTAGAGCAATACTGTAGTGAAATACGTAGGGGATTCTCGAGGGGTGACTGGTGTTTTGTTGTATTAACATTGTATGAAATGTGTACAAGTGGATAGCATGGCAGTTGTAGTATCCCTGGCTCTGGTGGTATATTGGGTTGTCCACTAATTGCACGACTGGGTGCCTAGTCCTCACCCCCCCATGTGAGGAAGTGTCCCTGGGTGAGACTCTAAACCCCAAGTTGCTCCAGATGGACAAGAAAGTTGAACCCATTGTGACGCGGCATGTACATTTGTGTCGTTACCATAACTTGCTGTATTTCAACACATTTCCTAACTTTCTTTCAATGCCTCCTTCTCTATGATCAACTCTTCTCAATCCATCACCACAACACTCTTGCAACACTATCAAATCAAGCACAGATACACGCTCGGGGTTGCATCCTGATAACTGAGCATTGTCATTCCCTCCAGTATCTCAAATGCCAAGCATATTTCTCACGTCATTCTAATAAGGGGCTATTTTCTTGTTATTCACCACCGCAGCTTGCAGAACTGTTCTTCAGCGCTAAGCTTATGTAAGTCAGGCCACGGGGGACTTGGACCTCAAATTCTTCTGGGTTGGTCTTGTAGGACGACCGTACTCCCTCTGCGGGGAGATGAGCCAAGTCAAACTGATCCCAGAATGGGACCGAACACCCAAATACTCCCAAAACCACCCAGCTTGAGGATGCTACACAACACAATAGAAAAGCATGGAAAAGAAGACAATGATGCTTTGATATGACAAGAAAGCCTGGAAAATGCATCACAAAGTTAATAATTTCATGCATGTGCTGATAGATGTAGTAGATAAAAAAATCCATATCATTCTCACGTCTGTTTGGGAGCCATTTTCCTCCAGATTTACATGCTAAGTTTAGCCAGTGATCTACTGGCTCTAGTACATGATAAGTCATTATATATGGCAATAATCTTCTGATCAAAATATTGGTGACAAAACTAATTACTTCCCAAAAACTTTCCTTAAGATGCCACATTTAAGCATAAGTTTAGGCCCAGAGAACTGGTTTAAATACAAAAATCAGTCAACTATGTGTGTTTGAAAGCACATTTTAAAAAAGTTTAATGACACAATTACTACTATAGTAATGATTTGTTGTCGTAATGTTTCACCCTGAAATTTAAAAGTCGGTAGCAGCTGAGACGTACAGTTTTTATTCCCTCCGCAATCATTTGCTGCCACTCAAGTCAGGTATTTACAAAACCTCCAGCGGCTTTGACGTGGATCTGGCAAACAGCGCTTGTCCGCATGTGTATTGTTGCTCGCACAGAAGCAAACACGAGCCCACGGCTGAATGCTTTTCAAGGTGTCTGTGAGGGCCTCAAAGGTAAAAAAAAAAAAAAAACCCATTCGTCTGGATCTGAAGTCGTATCAACACACCATGAGATGTTTCCTGCAGATTTATTCTTAAACTCCTTCTTCTTTTCTTTTTTTTCAATAAAGAATGTGCAAATCTGGCCCTGGATCTGGCAGCAGTGCATGTGTGCGTATGTGTGTGTGTACGCGTGTGTGTGTGTCCCATGCAGTCATTTCAACAGAGCAATCATTCATGTAGAGGAGAATATACACTTAGAGGGTTTAGCTCTGCCGGCAGGTGATGATGGACAAGCCTTTCAGGGAACAAGCGAGGGATGGAAGGAGAAGAGGGGGAGATGGGTGGAAAAGAAGGACTGGAACAGAGGAATCAATAAATCCCATTGTATAATTTCTTTCACAAATGTAGGCTGGAGGTAAGAAGGCAAGAAAAATAAATTAATTTTTTTTTAAAAAGTGAAGGATGAAGAAAGAAAAAAAGCTTTGTTATATAGTATGTGTCTGCTCCATTGTCACCCAGCCTGGGCAGAGAGCCATGGCTAAACAGTCCATTAGTCCAGGAGAGAAGGAACCTCCTAATTGCCTCCTCTCTGTTCTTCTTCCCTCCATCTTTCTCCCCCCCTCTAACCCCCTTTCTGTTGGCTGAGAGGACAGGTACAGGAAACACTCATTCATTAACAACCTGGAGCTCGTTAGCCTCAGTGAAGCACTCTTCAGAATATGTGCAGTTCCTCCTCTCAGGGCAACTCTGTGTGTGTGTGTGTGTGTGTGTGCATATGTGTTTCCGAGGAGGCGAGAGGTGAGGGGGGCTAAAGGGTAAGGCAGGGCCAGAGCAGGGGGGTGCGCTGGTTGGGTGACCCGGGGTCCTCCAGCAGATGATGGGAGTGCTGGTGAAAAAGATCTTAACAACATTAGAACTCAATGGAGCATGTCACTTACAAACAACCAGGAGGCGGGTGCAGACGTTTCACCTTTGAGCAATATTTTACGCCATTTTTCATGCAGCAAAGGCAGGATGAAAGTGCCTAAAAAAAAACTAAAAAAAACAGCATTCAAATGTTTTTTTCATGCACCTAAATCTAACAACTCCAGAAAACTACACTTTTGTTTTGACCGCCAGCTGCACGGGGCAACATGTGCGCCAGTCCCTACCTTTGCATTCTCATCAAGCGCCGACATAAAAAAGTCAGGTCTGGTTAGAAAAGTTCAAAACATGATACACAACACCCTGCCACCCAGCTTTCCAAACACACCCTGTCATTTGTAAGATGTCAGCCTGCCTCTTTGCACTGGTTGGACAGCAAGCAGGAGAGCGGTGTGCCTTTATTGGCTTTAAAAGATAATGACATGCCTACTGCCTGCCTCTCACCGCTGATCCAGGGTCAGCGAGTTCCTGAGCCCGAGGTTCAGGTTGAGACCGCGGCTCGGGTAAAACTCGCTTGCGGTTGAGGAACAACAGAGAGGACGCTCGTCGAAAGGCAAAGTTTCCCGCAAGGAAGGTTTGAAACTTTCTCTATGAGAATAAATAGCTGCCACCCATGCAGTTGACAAGGCACTCTCACTCTTTCACCATCAGTGCAGCGAGCTCAAGGCCACATGCCCCTTTTCATTACTCTGAACAGGCCAGCTGTATTATAACTACAACCAATTTCCTTGCAGTCTATAAAGCTGTCAATCAAAATCATACGGAATAGGGACTGGAGGTGGGGGGCGCAGGGGCGGAGCTGGGTGGGCTGGTTGGGGAGGGCTGCAGGGCTCCAGACCAGATGTCAGGAGTTTTTACACTGCAGGACGTGTCAGAAGGGAGTTAAAAAAAAAAAAAAAAGGGGTAGATGGGAGGAGACAGAGTGGAGGTCATGTTTACCTGCAGGACAATCAACTCACAGCCAGACCACAGCAATCATTTTTTTAAGTTTCCATTTATTAAAGTTATGAACAAAGAGACAAATAAGTTATATTTTTATTTGTTAGAATTCTATCAGTGTTTGAACATTAATATTTAGAGAGCTAGTACAATTTTCTACTTTCATGGCTAGCCTTTGACAAACCCATAGAAACAGCTGTCTCTCTCCTAGGATCGGAACATAATACTGAAGGGGAGGTGTCAATGTTGTCTCACGAGACAGTTAGCAATGAAAGTGTGCACCTTAAGGCTTTTTTTTTTTTCTGTTATGGTATATCATTACATATAAACTCTTTAAAAATATACTTCTGTCAAATACCTTGACAACTACTATGTACACTACAAAAATAAATTTTCATATAAATAAATTATATGGCATACATTTATCTTTGTAACTGAAAACAGCATACATCCACACCAACCGAGACCAAAATGGCAGTCTGGAAGAACCAATGATTTTTTTTTTTTTCCTTTTAAAATCCTCTAAGAGCTATGATGAGACCTGTAGTGTAAAATGTTATATACTCTTTTTTTTTTTCCTATTTAACATTAGTAAGCACTTTATACAGATCAAACTCCATTAATGTAAAAACATTAAACTGTAATAGTGTTTTTTTTTTTCAATAGACATAAAAATCCCTGCATTTGTTATCCACTGGCATCACAACAATAAAGAAAAGAAAAAAAAACCCAACATATTTTATATTACAAAAATATAAATATCGCAATTGAACGAAAACAAACAAAACATTTAAAAATGAATAAAATAGTTGCCAGCTATGATTCTCTCCGCTACTGCCAATGTGACATCGGGAGAAAACAAAATAAAAAAAAATAAAACAAAACAAAACAGAACAACCTATTTCATGCAAGCAGCTGATGTAACTCGGGGGACGAGGGGAATTGCAAAGACTTCTGGGAAGAGCTACAAGTGTTCAACAGGAAGCCAGAGTGTAAAAGTGGAGGTGTGGAAGGGAGTGTGTGAGGGGGGGAGGCGAAAGGGGCCTGGGGAGATTACAGGGTATGCATGCCAGCATAGACACACATGCAGATATAAACTGGCCATTGGTGGTGGAGAGAGGGGCTGGCGGCGTAAACTCTGACCCCTGAGGCTCTGGGCTGTGCAATTTAGCAGTCGAGGGGAGACGTCCAATTAGTGTCATGGCATTATGTTGTGGATTTTTATGAGCTGAGGTCAGTGGGGACAGCTGTGGCCAAACTGGGGCCAGTTGTCTTTACTGTCACAAAAAAAAAAAGGAGAGCTTAGACAGAGTGAGAGGATGGACTCACACACACACACACATAAATGACTATACATACATACACATGTGACACACACAGAGCACATATTCAGGCTATATAGGGCTTAGCCCTTAGCAGGCTGAATGGGCTAGCTTATTGGATGGAGAGAAGAGCTACTTTAGGTGAGATATTCCTGTGAGTGAAGTATAAATGCAGTCAAGTGCCACGTTGAATTGGGTCATACAGTATACAGTCTGAGTTTTAGCTTATCCACAAGACACAGCCACTGAGCGTGAGGAGTTAGTGTCCTGTGTTGACCCTGTTCCAGAATCAGTAATGTGAATGTCCCTGTAAAGAAAAAGTGAGTTTCTGAGGTGGGTTCACTGCTCATATGTCAGTATACAAGACAGAACCTGTTTGAGCCTGCTAGGGTTAAACAATACATAACCTCTTACAGTAAAATACAACCAGAGATCAGCCTAAGAGACAGTGATACAAAGCTGAGAGCAGAAACAGGTTCCAATGCCGAGGCGATAACTAAAAATAAAACAAAAAAACAAAAAAAACAAAACAGCTTTTAAAATTTCTTCATATCAGCTCGTCTTAAATAGCACGCATGGCGTGTCAAGTTAAACAGTAATTGTTTCATAACTACCACAGGTTTGTGATAAAAAATTAATAGTTTTCCAAGCGTACCTTTATACAATAATAAACACTCACACATGAACACACACACACACACACACACATATATACCATAGCTTTGTTTGATAATTCTAACAATTTCCCTCATGTTTTAGATGAGTGTAAATGTTAGTCTGTTCTGAGGATGTATCTGATGTAGAAGCCAGAAAATAATGGGGCTGTTTCACATTTTACAGCCCTACACACACACACACACACACACACACACACACACACACACAAACACGCGCGCGCACAAACACCTACTACACACTCACACACACATGTACAAAGACAGATCACTTCTTTTGTTTAAAGAGACATTTGCATAGAGTTATAAATGTATATTATTTAAAAAATATTTTAAGCAGCAACAGTGAATGCTGACAGGAATTTTTTGCCTAGATGAAGCTTCCTAATGGCACAGATCCACAGATAAGTGAACAGTAATCAGAGATCTATCTCTCTCTCTCTCAAACACACACACACACACACACACACACACACACACACACCATATAAAATGGCAGCCCCAGTCTGTTAACATGAGGAGTTGTACAGCTCCTAAAAATTATACCTACTTTTTGTTCATATTTACATATGTATACATCTTTTAAATATAGAAATATCTAAGACAATAGTCCACTGGGTTACAGTAAGAATGAGCACCATTATGGCAACACTGGCAAGTTTCTGCTGCTTAGGGTTGGGGGCCAGGTTGGGCTATGCTGGGCTGGGCTGTGCCAGGCCGGGTCAGCTGCTTAGTAATACAGAGGAGTCCATCTTTGGCCGTAGTACTTCTGTTCTCCAGAACTGGAAACAAAAAGAAGATTGTATTGTTAGTGTATTATCATGAAGCTGACATATCTAAACTGACAGGTGTATCAGCTCGGACTGAAGTCTTACCTCAGCTAGCCCGTCTGCCACTGTTGCTTTCAGCTGCCTCAAACTCCAAATCTTGGAGCTCCATGGCCTCCACCTTGACTCCTCTGGCCCCTGTGTGGGTGTACAGTGGCACATGTGGGTCCTGAAAGGCAGGCTCTGGCTCCTCTTGCCCTGATGGGCAGTAACTGTCCGCTGCAGTGTATCCTGGGTAAGAGGAAGCAGGGCTCTGGCCGGACAAGGGGGGCGGCGGGTGAACGGCGACAGTGACGGAGGCCGACGCCGTTACTGTGGTGATGGGTTGGCAGTACGGGGTGGGGTTGGGGTGGTGGTGTGGGAGGTGGTGATTAGGCTGTGGGTTGTGGGAAGAGCGGCCTCTGTGGCCTGCTGAGTGTTCTCTATGGCCGTGTGAGCCATAATGGCCCCCAGCCTCAGTAGCAGTTTCAAAAGCGTCCGTGCGCGGTCGGGCTGGGGGTGGGGCCTGCCAGTGCAGCTGGCTCTTGGGGTCCCTGCTGTTGTTTCGCTGAGTCGCCCCTTGTTGGGGCCCAGAATCACAACCCTGAGAGGAGACAGACTGTAGAGCGAGACAATGAGACGCTTACTTCCGTGATGTCAGAAACACAAGAAAAAAAAAAACGCAAATAGAGAATCATACATGCAACACAATGGGGGGACATTTCCTTACCGAGGACACAGTATAGGCCGGAGGATCAGGCTGTCTTGCTGAACGCCGATGCCCCGATCCTGCCCTCCTTTCCTCCTCCGTCCTGGCTGCTCTGCCCCTGCTGGTTTGGAGGTGATACTGCTGCTCCTCCGCTCGAGGTTGTCCTCTGTGCGGGTGCAGGTTGTAGTTCTGCAGCTCCTGGCTGATGCCGGACACTGTGGTGTTGGAGCTGTACTCCGAGTCCGACGAGTCTGAAGCTGCACCAGAGGTGGTGGCGGTGGCCGCGGTGGTGTGGTGAGGACGGACTGAGAAGTGGACCACGGGAGGAGGGGCCTCTGGAGTCGGGGTGGGCAATCGGCTACGACCGTCAACTGGTGATACCTGAGTGGTGAGAGGAACAAGTTGAAGCTCTGCATCCAACTAAACAATCGATTTAGAATGAAAAAAGTCACATTTCCTCAGCATCTCAGATTCATTTTTTTCTTGCATGTTTGGCATCTTACCTCTGGATAGGGTCCAAAGTATGATAGTAATACTGGAAGAAGGACCAATCCGTTCAGCACACCGAGAATAGTTAGGATGGCTAACACTGCAAAGAAATACCTGCAATACAAGCCACAAACAAAAAGAGTTCAATACGCAGCTTTAACACGAGGTACAACCAAACACTGCATGCAAAACAACATCTTCCTCTTTCATAAAACATTTACTACAAAATATAAGATGCAGCAAACAGATGTGGAGGGAAAAAAAATCCATGACAGGACTGAAAAACAAACAGTTGCTCAGACCAACACGGGCAGACAAGAAGTGCAACGGAGCAGGTGAAGCAACAAAGAAAATACCTGCGCAAACCACAGAGGTTTAGACGTGGGGAGACATGTGCGAGATCAACCATTCACACATGCCCGGAATAATACTTCCACAAAGACACCAGCCACTCCCCAAACAAACACACACATGTATATAAGCCCCCCCACAGACAGGCAGGCATGCACTGTGGGCTTTTTTTTTATTTTTTCCTCCGAGGAGCAAAAAAAAAAAAAAGAAATGTACCTTGTGTGTTTCTAAGTCCTGCCAAAGAGGGTTAGTCTTAAAGAAGCCGCAGAGAGAAAAAGAAAAAAGGGGAAGCATAATTAGCCGGAGCTGGTTAATTCAAAGGCAGGGGAGGAAAGAGAAAAAAAAAAAAAAAAAGAAGAAGGGGGGAAGGGGGGTTATTGGGGGCGAGGGTACTCTCTCTTGGGTGTGTGGTGTATAAGCAAACATGGAGAAAACAAAGCAGTGAGGAATGTGAGGGGAGGGGGTAAAAAGAAGGGGGGGGGGGACGTTGGGGCATTGGGGGGGGCACAAGAGGACAGGGGCCTCTCTCTCCTCTCTGGCTCAAAAAAAAAAAAAAAAAAAAAAAGAGAGAGCGAGAAGCAAACAAATGAAGTGAAGGGTATAGAATTTAAACAATTTAGTCTAGGAAGAAGAGAAGGGGACCCTCCGAGCACCACCCCTCCCTGGCCTCTCTCTCCCTCTCTCTTTTATTTCTTTCTTTCTCTCTCTCTCTTCTCTCTGCCTTTGCTTTTCTCTCCCTTCCTTCCAGCTAAGCCCCTGTGAAATTCCCGGCCACTCCACAATCCCCTCCGTCTAATTAAATCTCCAATGTATCAGGTAAGACCCCCCAATCTCCACTCTAAATCTCTCTCTCTCTCTCTCTCCAATCCAGCTTCCTTCATTTGGGAAGGCTTTGCTCCTCATTGGTTCTCCAGTGGAAGTTCTCAGGTTATCAGGGACACACTGATGAACCACGAACCCCGTCGCCTGACTCTTGACTGTGCTGTTTGTGTGTGTGTGGGTGTAAATAGGGACGAACTGAGGTGTAGATGCTTTGGTATGCTGTGCAGCTGGGCCTCAGACTAAGTTCACATTCATAACTAATCCTTCTGTGTGTGCTGGTGTTGTATTGATATGTGTGTGTGCAGAATGGAGGGCATTGTAGAGAGGGACATCCACAAGTTAGGAACGACGGTCCCTGTCCGTGCAGCAGGGCTGGCCTCACCTACACTGGAAAATTGAGTCTCACTGTGTAACCGGATGGAACTTGGCTAAGCAAATTCACAACAGTTTGGGAGTTTTGGTGAGTCACAGTAGTGCTGCTCATCCCTGAAGCTGCATTTCACAAAAAAATCTATAGAAATTTTATAGAAAACACTCTTCACAGTTGATTTACCTATATTAATCCTCTGAACTGCTAGATCTGTATAGTGCAATAAAAACAAGTGAGTAAAACGTGATCGGGGCAAAAAACACCCAGAAAGTGCTTGAAGGTTCAGAAGGTTAAACTGACTGAATTCGTACCTAATCTTCAACCAATTGATTGGTCACGGGGGGTAAATATCTGCCTGTTATCTCTAGATTAACTAAATTGACCACAGTGTACCGAGCACGGGCTGCAGTTGGAAGCACTGTTGCCTCGCGGCAGGAAGGTCGCTGGTTCGAGTTTGCATGTTCTCCCCGGGTTCTCCAGCTTCCTCTCACAAGGTCCAAAAACATGTTGAGGTTAATTGGTGATTCTAAATTGTCTGTAGGTGTGAATGTGAGTGTGCTCGGTTGTCTGTCTCTAAGTGTAGCCCTGTGATAGACTGGTGACCTGTCCAGGGTGTCTGAGTCAGCTGGGATAGGCTCCAACACCCCACGACCCCTAGTGAGGATTAAGCAGTGTATAGATAATGGATGGATGGATGGATGTACTAAGCACGCTCTACCTGCTAGCCTTAGTAGCCTACATGAATTATAAATAACCATATAAACTAGTGTTTGTAACATATTAAATCAGTTAACCTAGTTACGGGCATGCACCTGTTCATGTTGATGTGATTTCCAAAAATACTAAATCAACTTGTGGTGCCAGCACAAGACTTTTTGCGGAATATAGCAGACAAGCTAGTATATTGTTTTTAGATGATACTCCATGTTGGTTGGTGCTCGATTGATTATGAATGTATTTTAACATCTAATGAGCAGCGTGGGCGTGTTAAGCACCATTGTTGGAGCTTGTATAAGGAAGGAACTATTGGTGATCAATAGAAAATGATTGCATGTTTGCTTAATTTATTGGTGATAGACCGAAATAAAATACAGAAGAAATCAAAATTCTACCAAGCCTTCTTAGAACATGACAAGTGCCAGTCTTTGGTCATAAGTGGGCACTGACAGATTCTAATTATACCTATGATTGGTCTTTCATTTGCTTTCTGCTAAAGCTCTCACACTCTCACACACACACACATCATACTTCACAGTATTTACAGCCCACCCATCCTTCATCTGCTTTTATTAGATTATAACCGATTCCGTAAGTGAACTGAAATAATTGTGTCATCACTCCGGTTAGCATTTCCATACACACCGGGAGGGGTAAACGCCACCTTTGGGCGCACATATAGGCACACACATGTACACATGCACGCGTGCGGCCCACATACCAGGCTAAGTGCCCCGCCGGGCTGTTTAGAGTAAAAACATTCACAGGGCTGACGGGGAAAGTCAGGGAAACATTTCTTTCGGCGCAAGCAGAAAAATACGAGCGGGGCCTGTTGTTATTGCACCGTCTTGGGGCGCTGCTTTGTTTGCTCAGACAACAGCAGAACCTTTAAATGGAGGCCCGGGACTGAGCCAGAAACCAGAGCACACCACTGGAGGTGAGGAGAGAAGGTCTATAGGCCTCTATCGTTTGTGTGCGCATGTTTGTATGTGTTTCGCCGAGTGTGTATCTGTGTGCGCTCTCGCAGGCAGGCACGCCATCATTGACCCCCATGATTACAGGGTCAGGGAGCAGGTTGTGTGTGTGTGTGTGTGTGTGTCTATATGAGGGGGGGTGGACTATGTGTGATTGTGTGCATACATAAGTGCAGGACACATGACATAGTTTGTGTGCCTGCAGATCACATGGAGTTCAGGGCGCCCAGTTCTTAAAGGAGCAGGCCGAGCAAATTACTACCTCATCGAGCTGCAACCAAGAATGTGTGCACATGCAGCCATGTATGACCAGAAGATACTTAAAATACATCACTGAGCTCAGTGGAAACTTCTCATAATGCTCCGGGGGTTCAGAACGTACGGAATCGTTCGTCCGTTAGCTCGTCGCTACCTTTCTGTCCCGATGCCTAGGAGGGAGCAGACACACAAAAGGAGCCACCGACACAGAGCCTCCACAGTGTGTCGGTTTTAATTTCCACTTCTCCCGTCTTTCCACGAACCGCGCTCTTGCCGCCCACTCCGCTGCTCCTTCCCATGCTTATAAATGTCTAGCGAGGGCAGTTAAACTAGTTGAAGGAGATTACAAAAGCCAGAGGACCTTGCTGCTCTCTCTGCCCCCGTCTCCTTCCCCCCCGCCTCTCGCTCTCTTTCACTTTGCTTCCCTCTGGTTCTCTGTCTTCTCTTCTTCCTCCTCCTCCTACTTCTCCTGACCTTCAACTCTCCATCTTTCCCCCTGGTTTCCCCTTAAAAGTCAGGCATGAGAGACATTAAGGGGGAGACGAGGAGGAGGAGGATGAAAGAAAAGACGCAAGCGGGGTGGAGGATGGAGAAAGATAAAGGTCTTTTTTTATGAAGTTTCTTGGAGATCATCCCCCAGAAATGGACTAAAAAAAAAACCCAGGTATGTCAACGGTAGCTGGAAAAGGGATGAGGTTTGCAAAGAGGGAGTACAAAATGGGAGATGCGGGTGCAAGAGAAGAAAGAAGTTAAGAGAGGAGGTGGGGGGATAACAGAGGAAGAGAGCGGCCGTCATGCATGATTGGTGTCCCAGGTAGATTCTTGTGTGACATACAGGTTGAGGCATGGTCTCAACGGTCTACGGACGCCACACAGATGCCACATGATAACCCCTTGTAAGTGCAATTCTGTGTGGTTTCTTATAAGGCTAGATTTTTTTTTTTGTTTTAGCTCACCTGACGATAAAGTCGAACTCAGAGCCTGCAAGCATGAGGACACCCAACAAAGTGGAAAAGGCTCCGTCGAGCACCGGAGCAAACATGTGCTCCAACGCCAGCACTGCCCGCTTGTGTCGATCCCCTATGGCTGTCAGGAATGCCTACGACACACACACACAAACACACACTTTATGCATCGCAGTCGACCGTAGAGTTTCAACAATTAACTAACTCCTATTAAAGCATTTAGCATCAGAACGTAACAAACAGATGATGCTAGTTAATGATGTTTTCTGTTTGCCTACCAGGGCCACGTGGACAGTAAACTCCACTCCGATGCCCACAGAAGCGATGAGAATGACAACAGGGACGGCACTCAGCTTGATTCCCATCAGCCCCATGAAGCCGAACAGCTCCACGGTCATGAGAGAAAGCACCAACACCTGCGGACAAACAAGGAGTCACTGTTAGAACGGAAAGCGGCTCCTTCATCTACTAAAAAAAAGTGGTTTTATACCTTTAAGCACACATGGTAATATTTCTGAGCATTTTATATTCCACAACATCCCTACTTTGGCATGAACTGTGAAGCGCTTATTGTAAGTTTTTCTCTTCCATGTGGATATTAATCATACCGTCTATCAAACTAGTAGGAAAATGATCTGCTACTACAAAGTGCATTTGTCAGGCGAAAGAGATGAAATCCATCTGTAAGCATAGTGGGTCCAAAATGTAAATACTCTACAGTTGTTCCCTGCATGTGCTTTGTGAATTTACACCTGGCGGGGCAGTAACACATGAGGATGATACAGTACGTGCGATTGTCTGTCTTGTAGATGTGTTAAGTAGCAGCCATACATGTGGGTGAAATATGTGTGAGCTGGTCGGTGTGTGTGTGTGTGTGTGTGTGTGTGTGTGTGTGTGTGGAGGCTCCTGAGCAGAGCAGGACAGGAGCTGAGAGTAAATGCCATTATCAGCTGACAGGTGTCAGGTTACATGGGGCCCAAATCCTTTGAAGAGGGCTGAGGTGGGCAGGAGAGGTAGCCGTGTGCACGTATGTGGGTGCACATACATGTGAGCAAAGCACGGAGGATGTGCACGTGTGTCCACAAGAGGCATTCGAGTGCGGCGTGTTTGTCTCAAGTTTTGCACTTTATTCTCAAGTGCATCTCGGGTGATATAAGTGTGCAGATATGTTGAGAAAATATTTGGACAGACTCTCAGGAAATGAAACTTGCACCTAGACTTAATTATTTTTGTCTTTTTCAGGACAAAAAAATACATTTATGCCTGTGTTTTTTTCAAATCACAGTTGTCCTACAGATAGATGAATATAAATAAGAAGCAAATCATGATCACAAGTGACCCCTCGGGATGTAATTAAGACCCATTCTGATGCTAAGTGTTAAGAGCAATCAATATCAAGTGGGTTAGAAATAATCTGCATGAATCTAAACACAAGACAAGAGATTTAAACAAAGCCTCTGTCTGCATAGTTATGTTGGAGGGCAAATGGCTACAAGGGTTTGAAATGGCTTGAGGGTTTGATGTTGCAGGGCCGGCTGTGGTCTGGTCCTTGACGCCTCTCCATAACTTGTCTTTTGATCTTGCTAGTAAAGCCTGAAGGATGAACATGAAATTCCCTCCTCCCTTGTTTAAGGGCTCGGGTGGCCTGGCCACTGCCTGTTATAAAATACAACCCACCAGAGAGAAAAACCAGATCGCTCTGTGTATGTGTTTCTGTGTGAATTATGTACCTGCGTGTTTACACGTTCGGACTGTATGTGTGCAAGTATATACATGTCCGCGAGCCCTCAAAGTGTGTTTGTGCGCTTGCCTGCGTATGTGAATGCGTGCCTGCTCCGTAGCCTTGGAAAGTCCTCGTGTGAGAGGATGAGTGCGGAGGATGGAAATAAAATCAAACTTTTTATAGGTTTAGAGTGGGAGCCTGTTGCCGGAGCAACTTTGTGTCCTCTTCCCATTTATTTCAGCATTGGTGTCTGGGAGTGTTGGACTAGACTAAACAGAGTGGCCCTAACAAAACAGCACAAGATAAACACTGGTGACTGGGGCTACAATAACACACAGCAGCCCCTTCTCCTTTCTGACTGGCTCGCTCTCACATGCATTCTGGACCACACACAAAAAAATCAGGAAATAACAGGATGAGAGCAATAAAGGAATTTTTTTTTAAATCACTGAAAGTTTTCACTCCACGTTTTCCACGCTCTTGTTTGAGACATAACCGCCAACCTTTCAAACCAGCAAAATATTATACTTCTTTGTTTCTTAGTCAACAGTCAGCTCTCAGAACATCTGCCTTAGTTCATAAATATGCTTCTCAACCACGTAGCTATGTGTGCAGCATCTGTATCTTCTCCAACACTTACTATAATGCCGGCAGTCCACGGGTTGAGCAGGAAGAGGGCACAGACCAGAAAGGTGCAGGCAAGCACAACACTGATGGACAGCAGAAGCCAGTGGCGTAGACTAACATACTGTTCCCAGAACAGGAAAGGGTAGCCGTTGGGGTAGGAGGGCAGGCCTTGTCGGCTATAGTTGCTACAGATGGCCCGCACGCTCTCGATGGCCTCCACAAACTGTGGCGTCTCCCGGAGCCCGTTGAGGTAGAAGGGGAACTGTGCGTATTCGATGGGCTCAGCAGCCGGAACTGGATGGAGAAACAAGGAGAGGGAGATGATTTAAGACAAAATAAAATGGACGGTTCATCTTTACGTAGATATAATCACATTTATTAAAACCCATGCAGCAACTAATGAGTGTGCTGCACTTTGCAGCCACAGCCCTGCAAGGTGATAAATCAACAAGGGCAGCAATGACATTTGCAGATAGCAGTTGTTTATTCTCGTTAACCAGCATTCGGTTCTGATCATTGAATGTATCTGCAGAAATAATTTGAGATACTTTAGCCAAACCACCGAGGCAATATGAAGGCTTCCCCCTCTCTAACCCACACTTGTTCCAAGAGAAGTTACATCTGTGGACGAGTGTGTGTGTGTGTGTGTGTGTGTGTGTGTGTGTGTGTGTGTGTGGTGAGGGTGGGGGAGGAGTGTGAAACAGAGCCCTATTGACTCAAACCCTAGACCAGTCTGTGGCCCAGCCTGGCTAATGAGGGCCTATCAGTTCCAGACACAGCAGACTGTCAGGGCCAACGTTGATTCACGGTAATTACAATGTCAGAATCACTGCCATTACCACACCCTAAACTTAGCACCGCCACATAAAGCATAATATAGATGCATAAACACGTATACCTGCCTGTCACTCCGCTATGAAGTCATACTTGGTGCCGACAGAACAGTGTTTTCATTCACAATTCTGTTCTCAGTGTAATTAACAACACATTGCCGCTCATGGCAGCATCAAAAGATCACCCAGCAATTCTACGTATACCTATCTATCTTCTTACTTAAACACATGCTTTTAGGCTGTCTGATGCTGGTGAGTGTGTGTATTCTACACTAACTGTAGGGTCAGACAGGAGCTCTTGCTTACATGGTATGGCCCATTATAATCTCAACTATAAATTTCCATTAGAACACCAGTTGGCTTTTGGCCAACACAGATCTGCTCCGGGGGGCTCCCGCACAGCCAAGCACTTCATGCTGCTTATCCAATCACATCCCCCCCCCTGTCAAGGGCTTCCTGCTTGTTATCCAATTGTGCTTCCCACCAAAACCTAGTCTCCCCTTGTTAGCCAATCATTTTCCTCCCCCGTGGAGCACTTCCTGACTTGTACCAAATCACAGGCTAGAATCAAATAACAACACGACTATACTTTTATGTGACTTTCAGTCTGTGTGTGTGTGTGGTAGGGAAATGAGAACAGGGTGTGTGTTGTGTTTGGGGTCACTGAGTTTTAATAATGTATGCGTGTGTGTATGTACGTGTGTGTGTGTGTGTGTGTGTGCGTGTGTGTAATGCTAGGGCCCCACGGTAGTCGGGATTATAGCATTCACCACAGGCACTATTAGAAGAACAACAATGAGTTGTGTCTTGGTCTACAGCTTTGCAATTTGAGCTCACACATGCACAAATGCACACACGCTGCAGTGGTACAGTAAAGTCTACTGCCTCACTTAGAGCTAAAAGGCAGACAAGGAGCAATAACTCAAACCACAAGAGGTAAACACTGTTCACATGTAGCAGCTGCCTCGCGGAACCTTAAAAAAAAGTCACAGCCGAGACCAATAAGCCCCGCAAAAGTTCAACTTAAAAATTCCGGGAGCAGTTAGTAAATGTAATTTGTTCAGCTGTACCGTGCAGTAGGTATGAACTTCAACATTTCAAATTACTGTAATTCTGGATTGCTGAATTTGTTGGAGCTAACAACATTACTATTGAAATTTCCTTCCTTAATACGACAGAAAAAAAAAAAAAACCACATTCCATTGCACTATAAGGCATCCTGTTCTCAACTGTACGATAATTTGCCAACTTGCGGCGTGCCGACTTACTGCTGAGGCGTGTCTCGGGCATGGAGTCGGTACGGTCGTGGAACCACTCGGGAGGGTGTGGGCGAATGTTAGCCTGCGAGGCGGCGTACGCCACGGGATCATTGCTGACCCAGGCGGTTAGGTAGATGTAAAAAGCCCCAGGGTTGATGATCCCATCTGCATCCACAAGCCTCTGACGGGTAAGCTGCAAAACCAACGAAGAAGATGAATTAATTATGGTAGTAATTACTAACGTAGACAAAACAGTTCTGTTAAAACCCAACTTTCAAACTTCACATTTACAATAGGCTATGCCAAACTTTAAAATTTGAAAATGGAATAATATGCAAATGGAAAAAACAGAATTGAGGTTAAGGAGAAAAAAAAAAAAAAGAAGTGCGGCTTGCGGAGTTAAGCACACACTGGACACGAAAAGGCATTGTGGAAATAAGACATGTTCAACCATAACATTCTACAGGTGAGCCGACCACAGAAATGCTTATTTATACACACGCATGAGTGCAAGAGAACGGAGCAGCTTTCAAAATATGAGTCAAATATTACCCCCTCTCTCTTTCCAACCAAAGAAAAATCAACAAGTCAAACACTGGTTGCCTTTCTGAAAATTCCCGTACTTCTGATCAGAGCTTCCCAGAATTATCATGCCACATTAAAACATGGAAAATGTCGAATCAGCTTCTCTCTTTACATACAGTAGATATTGGCCGGCCAGCCTCAGACCCAACGTCCTGACCGCTTTGAATAACTTTCTAAAGGAAGCCTTGCAGCACGCTCCAGCTTCTGCTGATGCCTATAGGTCCTCACAAGTTTAAATGTGTCAGTATATCAACATTTATCGGCGAGAAGCTTTTAAGTGACATTTTGGTTACGGTGCAGTTGTAAAGATGCATTTTGATTTGAGAGAAATGAATTAATTTTGAACGCAATCTTGGTATGTTAGAAGGTTGCTCCACCACAATGGCCCCGACTGAACATGTGTTCACAGCTTCATTAAATGGGACACATTCATGGCTCATTCATTCAGAGGATGGATCCTTGGGACTTTTGGATCTACAGGATGGAATGTGATGAAACGTGGTACAAATAGTCAAGATGACTTGTAATAACTCTGCAAAACATTTCACTTTTCTTATACTGCGATTATCAGGTCCAAATTTCAACACTATATTTTATAGCCACATACCTTAAAAGTGAATTACTTAGCAGCCTGAGCTACGATGCTAAACAGTAAATGTTAGTAGCGGTGAACAAATGCCAAATTCTTGCTTAACGTCTGCATGTTAGCCTTGTCAGTGTTAGCACGCTTACATTAGCATTCAGCTACGATCACTGCTGGGTTGGGAAGATGGATGCTAGCAAGGCTTGTTTACACTCACAAGCCCAAAATTCAAGGCAAAATTGTCCAATACATCATGACTGAAATAACCTGACAGACGCCAAATAACTTTAGTGTAACAGATACTTTGAACCGTGTCAGTCTCCGTTAGCCTGTAGCTAAACTCCTGACATCCACCCATGAGTGATTGGGTCTTTGTGCAGATTGTTGTCGAGCTCTGTTTCAGTCGGTGTCATTCTCCTTGTGGACAGTAGGCCGACATGAGTGACTGTCTCGCTCGGGGCTGTTGCTCCGGCCCTCCCATGTGGAGGCAGGGGGAGTGTAGCCTAGCATCGCTACCTCCTGAGAGGTAAAGCCATTACTGCACACCGCTCTGCCACTCTCCCTTCTAGGAACCATAAATCCCTCTTTCACGGAGGCAGGGAGACTTTTTGGGGGTTGAAGCTGGACTCATGGGGGTTAAGGTAGATGAAGAAAAGAGTCAGGCTTTTTGTGGTGGTGGTGGTGGTGGGGGGAGAAGAGAGGTGGGGAGAGAAAAATTGCTTGAGTTAGCGTAACAATAAAAAAATTGGCTGGAGTCCCTGAGCGCGTCTGTGTGCAGTTAACCTGGTTGTTAACACTGAAGGAAATGCCACCCAGCAAATGGAGTAGAGCTATAAAAATAACACAACATCTGTACAAATGTTGCTCACACTTGGTTCTCCTGACCCCTATGGGTACCCAGAATGCCTGGCGCCACAGACCAACCCGGCCCAAAGAAGAAAAGAGCTCTTGATAGCCTTTCTTCGGACTTTCCACCTCCTCCTCCTCCTCCTCTGCTCCATGCTCACCTCCTTCTGTATCCACTCACCAACCCTTTATCTTTCTACTGCCTTTTTTTTTTTTAAAACCACACACAAGGAACAAATGGTCGCCCAGCGCAGAGATATGCCGGGACAGATTAAAGGCAGAGCACCTCTGCACAGATCCATAGAGTGGCATATCAAAATAAAACATCTCGCTTTGCAATTTGCAAGGGTTTGCTAAAGATCTGGTCCTCATTTCGAGGTACAAAGAAAAAACAGCTACTGCTCTTAGTGCACGCACAAGCAGAACACACATTCAAAACATACAAATGCGCACACAGAGCCGCCTCAAAGAAACCACGTGTTTCAGCTCCCCTCATTGAAAGAGGACACAGCAGTGGAGCACAGAGGGAGGGAAAAGGGAGGGAGGAAGAGACCGAGAGAGAGAAAGAGAGAGTGGTAGTGCGAGCAGGAGTCAGTGAAGGAGAGAGAGAGCCGGATTCCAGAGGATCTGGATTGAATTTAACAGCGGGATACGCAACAACTGTATGTCTTCAAGCTGTCACGGGAAGCCCAGGCAGCTCTGCTGGCGGCCCCCACGCCTCACGGCAAGTACACTTCCCTCACAGGCAGAGGAAGTGATGTCACAGGGCCGCACACCAGGCCTGGCCTTCCACGAGTGAACGCGATGGGAAGAGTAGTATGCAGCTGCAATGGAGTTTATTGACTGTGAGAAATAGCCAAAACAAACATCTAAAGAGTAAAAAAAAGGGGGTGGGGTGGAAACCTTCATACGCATTTTTAGACATGCACGACTTGAACGTAGATTCTCTCACAAAGCAGAGCTACATGTCAAAGTTAATCATCTTTGACGAAAGAGATCTCAATGTCGAAAAGGACATGGCTTGTTTTGTGTTTGAGGTTTGCAGAAATCCTGGCCAAGAATGTTGTTTTTATATTTCTCCAGTTTCTTATCTTCTGTTTTCCCCTTTTCCTGCCAAAGAATGCAGCCATGCATCCACGTATGTTGTTTTTTGGAGGTGGTACTGGACAAAAAAAAAAAAAAAAAAAGAAGCATGCAATGCCCCGTTGAAGCTGAGCAAGTTTCCACAGTGGCACAAACCTATTCTTCCCCCCTCATTTCCTCCTGCGTCTACCCCGCTCTCTCTTATTATCAGCCTGTTGGTATCTTTCTGCTGACATACAAGAGACTAGATTTGATCTTCAACATAGTTCCTGCTGGACCTCCTTCTGAGACTTGAGTCTCTGTTGGGCATCACTTTTTCAGTTTGACATTGCAGACATTCAACTGGATGTTGTCTGATGATCCTTTGCTATGTTCTTGTGGAGGCAGATCTGCCAGTCGCTTTGTAAGGAGAACTTTTCACAGCCATGGTGATGAAATTCGGGTGCATTCAAACGATTGGTCATGGAAAATGTGTGTCCTCTAAAAATCTAGTGTGCAGACTTCACAGCCACGGTGAGCAAACAGCACAAGCAACACCTTGTGTGGAGGTAGAAGATGTCTCTAACACAACAGTAAATGGTTCAACCCATTCAGCTGCATAGGAAGGCCAAGGATTTTACTGCATCATGTGTCAAACGATGCGCCAAATATGCAAATAGGCTTTTATATAGGCTCTAAATTAACCTCTTAGCAAAAACAGTTCATTTTGACAATTCTAATTATTCTCTCTCACAGGGCTGCAGAATCCAGCCTACTTATTTATAGACCCTTTGGGGTGCATAGGAGTTCCTCTGCTTCGATTTCTTTCGAGCCGTCCAAATATGAACACTACCAACTGTGGCTGGAGTCGCTGACAAAGTGTCAAAGTGAAAGGCTTGATGCTAAAGGGAAACAACCGACTTGCCAAGGCCTCCGCATGCATCTCACAAATACACACACACACACACACGCACAAACTGACAAATGGTTTAAATGAAGAGTTAATAGGTTTTTCAGAGGCAGCGCTGCAGCTCCAGCGAGAGCTTTAAATTCCTGGGCTCGGTAAAGTCATCACAGAGAGAAGATGAACACAGACAGAGAGAGAGAAAGAGAAAAATATGAATAGAGAGAGGCTGCTTTAAGTCGGGTGTGGCTCCTCCAAAGTCAATCACACGTAACAGAAAAACCCACAAAGACAAAAAAAAAAAAAAAGAAGCTATTTCTTGGGTCAGATTGCGATCCGTGTAATGCCGTCTGCGCACGATTCCTCATATTTTAACCGTTTTATCGAGGGACATTGAGTTTAAATTCTGAACACACCTGGTTGAAGTTGATGGGCTTTTCCCTGCGTCCTGTCTGCACCAGAAGTTTGTACGCCAGGACGCCATCGTCAGAGCCGTTCCTGTAGCTGATGGAGGTGATGCGGCCGGCCTCCCAGTCCTTGTCAAACGCCTGCTGGAGACCTGGAGGAAACCACAACAAGACAATTCGGTTAGACGTGGATGTTTGAAACGTGCCCTGTTATCTTCATTCTTCCGCCGCCGCCGCCACACACTTACAAAGCACGGTTCACGGGAAAACGCAACACATAACAACCCAGCACAGTAAAAGGAGAACATAACACAATAGTGCAACCTAAGCCTAACCCTATAATAAGCTTGATTGATTTAATATGATAACACAGTCCCGTTCTCCACCACCAAACGAGACTTCAAAAGCCGAAAATCTGCTGCTTTTAATTCAAAGCGATCATTAGGGACTATATCAGTAACATGTGCCTCCTTTTCTATACTGCTCTCTAATCCATATGTGTATCATTCCCCTCCTCTCGGCTCTCCCCCAAGGCCCATGCTGTGGTCCGTCTGCGGGAGATGTTGTTTTGGGTCTCGTTCCTTGGCCTGTCTGGCTCCAATTTGTCCCACCATTGCAGAGAGCAATATCAGACACAGTTCTCTCTCTCTCTCACCCACATACTCTCTGTGTGGTTCCCAGCCAGCTCGCACACAGACTCTCACAATGTGTTTTATCGTTAAGAGCGAGTCAGCGAGTGCGTCTCCGTGCTGAAAATGAAGCCGTTCTTGGCATCGGTTGACACGTGAAAGATAATACTCTTGTTCGGTGGCACTCTTGGAATTCGATACAAAAGCCAGCAATCCATCCCAAAGTGATTCATGTCATCATGCAAGATTAATTTAAGGTTGCAAACGACTAAAGGTGCGGTGTTGTGCTTGCTACATGCCAAATATTTGCGATTTTTTGAGCAAGATCAATGACAAACGACCACAGGCAATACTACGAGTTGAATAGGTATATCTGAGTGACGGTTTGCACTGCCAACATCATTTGCAACTTGCTGCTAGAGTTTCTAAAACGCTGTCCAATGCCTAAGGCCCGGTTTAAAAAACACGGCCTCCCACTTCATCCTCCTTCAGCCCCACTTATGGAAGACACAAGTGATTTTAATCAGCTACTGTCAGTGTCCATTTTGCAATCCCTCCTACTTCTGAACTCTTGCCGAACATCTTGTTTCCTGCAGATCCATGTCAAAACACAGAAGAAAATTATGATCTCAAAACTGTTTCATGAGAAAGTAAATTATTCCCATGCCTAAACTATCCTGAATAGTAATGTTAAATGAGGTATAAACAAAAAACCATGTGTGATGTCAGCGTTAGGGTAGAATTTTAAGCGAACTAACACTGACTGTGACTCATAACGTGTGATCCAAACCAGTTTGGGTCCGGTTGGGGTGGCAATTATACATCAAGTCTAATTTTACCTTGCAGCCAGTCCCTGAAGTAGTGAAGCCACATGCGTGGCAGCTGTCCGTTGTCCTCCTTCAGCACATAGCGAACAGTGTGGAACCTCTGGTGGAGCTGGTGCAGCAGCGGCTGGTTCTGGGCGTAATCGGCCCGCTGCGTCACCACGTACATGTTGTAGAAGGAGAAGAACTTGAACTGGGCACCGATGAAGTCGTACTCGCTGGTCTCTCTGGGTACGATGTCCGTCAGCTCTAGGCCGTCCCTCACCTGGGTGGTACCGTACAGACTGACTCCCAGCAGGCAGAGGAACAGCACAATCACAACCACCTGGAATCAGAGGGACCAAAATGCAGCTTCAATCAATCAATTCAATTGCGCTTCAACTTGCACCGATCACTTCTTAAAGCATGCTGCATGTTCTCAATTAATGAGGTGCAAAAATATGGATGATTGACAAATAAGCTGAGGTGAATTTTATATTCCACAATATGCAGGAGATGTTGCTAACTTTAAATGAATTACAACAACAATACTGTCACAAGTTCTGTGACACGCCAAGAAACACATGCAGTCAGATCAAATTATCATCCAGATTGTCTGTTAACACCCATCAGAGTTTACAGATCGACTTTCTGGTTCTGCTCAACCTACTGTGTGCGCACACCAGCCGTTACGAGAAGTTTAATTGCTTCAATTTTTGTTTTTACCTCCAAATAAACCCGTCTGCTTGTTTACAATCTGTCAGATGTTTTTTTCGTTTTTTAACATTATAGCATAGTTGCTATGCCATGATGGCCAAAAATAATAAAATAAGACCCACATTGTAATAAACCAGACTTTTCCTTTAAGTCATTCAGCAATAAAGAGAGTGCTGGAGGAAGGCATGAGAGGAGTGCGTGAAGCAATTTAGGAATATGGTGAAACATTTGACAGTGTAATGAAACTGAGGAAGATTTTCTAATGTCAAGTACAGGCCACCAGATGATTTCAGCTCTGGAAGGCTTTGAGAGGACCGGCCACCCACTAGACTGAGGTCAGACTATGTGTGTGTGTGTATGTGTGTGATTCAGATAGGACATGACCACAACCTCCACCCCACATTTCCTCCGTCTGCTCGATTCACTCTGGTGACTAACCCTCCCATTCAAATTATCACCGCGGTGAGTCAGCACACAAACACACTTTTACCTCACACAGAAGCTATTCAGACCTCTTCCTCTGTCTGCCTTCGTCTACCAACACACGCAGAGGAGCTAAACTCACCTTGGTGGTGGGCTGCAGAAGGAACGGGGCGTAGTGCTTCTCGGCAAAAGAGGACAGGGTCCAGCGGGAGCAGGGGGGGTCGAGGCAGCGCAGGCCCAGCGAGGCTTCTCCGATCTGGGACAGCAGGTCCCGTGTGGAGCTGTTGTTCTCCGGACTCTGGCAGGTTGACGAGGCTGCGTCGCCCTGAGGAACTGAGCTGGCGCTTGATGTCGGGGCAGCAGGAGGAGGCGCGGGGTGATGGTGGGAGAAGGTGGCAGAACCTCGAGATCCCCCGTTACTCCGGCTCCCGCTGTTGTTGTTGTTGCTGAGATTGGCGTGATTGCCGCTACCGCTGTTCCTGCTGCTGCTGCTGGTGGTGTTGTTGTTGTTGTTGTTGTAATAGTCATTGTTGGGGTTGCTCCTGGCCGGAGCCGGGTTGATGGGCTGCACAGAGATTTGAGATCTGGGCTCGGCGGTGGTGTAGAAGGCCTGAGTCCGGGGGTCGTACTCCGTCCTGAGCTGCACCGTGGACTGCATGGTGATTTGGGTCTGCTGGGCAAAGCCGTGGCTGCTGTAGGAAGGAGGGGGGCTGCTGTAGCTGGGGGGAGGCGTGCGATACGAGGGGGGAGGAGTGCGATATGATGGGGGAGGGCTGTAGCGACTCCCGTCTGCCCCATCCAGGTACGCCTGAGGCTCAATCTGAATCACACGATTGGCACATGGGCTGCAGGGATAAATAAAAAAAAAGTTAAGCTTTGCATTACATCTGTTAAAAATATTTATCAGCCTTATGTTATTGTGAATCTTCTCTCTTCCTCTTTGCCAGCAGCGTGAAATATAGAGCTGAGACCAACAATGGAATTTAATAGTGTGTGTACACATCTGTACGATCGCCGAGCCAACAAGCATGCCCAGGCTGGCAGGCAGACTGGTAAAGTTTAATAAAGACTGTGACAGATAAACACAAAGTCAAACAACCAAGCAGCCAGACAGACAGAAAGAGACGACTTTCACAGTAATTAGGTTTTGACTGAGGGGGATTAAGGTGAAGATGTGAGGAGATAACAGTCTGCTAAATTTATTCATTGTCAGATCAGAGATCTGAGGAAGAACATAAAAGGAAGACGAACAGGAAAGCAATAACTTTAATCAGAAATGAAAGAACTCCTTTGTATTTATGCATGCGTGTGCGCACACCTGTAGAAGCAGCAGAAAATGTCAAAACGTCTGTCTTCTCGTCGGTAGAGATCCATGCTGAGGATGGCGGGAAAGATGAGCAGCACCATGGCAAAGTTGAACACCACCACCACTGCAGCCTGCGAGGAACACACGAAACAGGGGGTTATTTTGGACAAAAAGGAGCTTTTACTAAAGGAAATTATCCCACTGCTGACTGACTTTTAGTAATTTGTATACAGTTGGAAATTGACGGAGAAAACACGTGTGGTATTAAGGTTGATAAAATTCAAACTCCATGGAAACAAAACCACAGAAGGCATTTTTTTCCCCCCCACAGAAAAAAAATAAAATAAAAAATCCCAGGGTAGATAAATAATAAATGAACATAAAAGTATTTCTCAGTAAATGTTCCTGCAATACTATCCACGCACGAGTTCCAAACTGTGAAGATGTACGGCCTCGAAGAATTATCGTCTCCGAACAAAAACACAGCGATGCCTTGGATATATATTAAAATAACACAGTCTGAATAAGCTAATGGCAAGGAAAAACTACCTTTCAACACATTTTCAATTCCTTTCAAGCCAAAAACACTGAGTGTGCAGAGAAACAGCGAGCCGTGTGTGTGTGTGTGTAATAGAAGCCAGTACAATGTTGTGGTTAAGTATTTGAAGGTGGTGCACTGAAGCAGAGGGTGGGGGTTGGGGTTAGGTTGGGGCCCTGCCCAGAGTACAATCTGGATATTGCGTAGTTGCCAGACCGCTACACACACACACACAATCACACACACACACAATCCCTGGGTGTGTGTGTGTGTGTGTGTGTGCCAGACCACCCAAGGAGCCAGAGGCCCGCGGGGCCTGAGGTGATGAGCAGGCGCTGCGGCTGTACAGACAACACACACTCACACACACACCCCTCACACACACACTCACACACAAAAAAATGCACATAAACACACGTATCTCCTGCCAGCTTCAAAAAACTGTACAGCCTCCTACTTAAACCACACCTTAACACCAACCAGACACACACACACATCCTCGCCCTCCCTCATTCCTCAACCCGCTGCTCAGAAATAACGTCAAAGAGATGAAGTTAGAAAGAAAAACCTCTGTAAGTAGAGTAGAACAATTAATTCTCAATTGGCCCACTAACATCCAGACAGATACAGCATGACTCCACTCACACACACACACAAACACAGACACACACACACACGGCGACCGCTAGCTGACCCCAGAGCGAGGATATTTATCATCACATCTGTCCACCGCGTATGAATGTGTGCGTGTTCCTGTGGGTGTTTTTGTGTTGCTATCTGGACGAGATTTCTCTTTTTTTTTCGTTGCTGTTGTTCATACTGATGGAAGGAAGCGAACGACGGATAAATCCACAGAGGAGTCGACCGCAGGAAGAGTTTAATGCTGATAAAGAGACGCGCACGGCAACACACAACCTCCGCGCTGATACGAGGGCGGGGAGACGAGCGCCGCTGCTTGTGGATGTTTTTTTTTTCTTTCCAACAATAAAAGATGGGTATCATTACGATTGTCTGAGTCCGTGAAGTTTGCCCTTTCACCAGTCGCAAAAACCGCAAGTGTAAAAGTATGTGTGGTATGTGTATGAGCGTGTACAAGTGTGTGTGTGTGTGTGGTATGCCCGTGCATGTGTACAAAGCGAGGCTGCATGGATTAGACCCATGGGGTAAATGGATCATGTTTGACAGACTCGCTGTACTAAAGCCATCTATCCACACATGCTAATATTGTACTCAACGTGGCGACATCTTACCTCACTCGGTGTGTATGTGTGTGTGAGAACGCGAGGAGGGAGGGAGGGAGGTTATTATTTTGCTGCAACAGTGTGTACAGTAATTACAGCACAATCACTTATATAAGTGCAAATATGTCGGCACAAAAGGTTTTCGTACCTTTTCGTTGCGTGTGTTTGACTGATGCGCTTCGTGGAAATGGGTTTTGCACTTTAGTTGGAAACTTTCTAAGCTTTCGGAAAACAGGAATAACTTAAAGTGGGGATATGTTAAGAAAATCGTTGGACGGATAACAAGAACAAAGACAGTTTAAATGAGAGGCTGTTTTTTGGTGAAGGCGAGGACATAAATTTAACTAAGAAACCTCTGAAACTGAAAAACTGTCCCCCAAAAACACAACAGAGTGGCTCCAATCTGGTGACAACAGCTTCCTTTACTATTAAAATCAGCCACAACATATTTGCAGTGACTGAAACCCCAACCTTGTTCTTTTATTTATCACGCCGCTGCACAGACTTCGTCATCAAATCTCATCCTCTCGTTGCTGAGCGAGTGTTCAAACGAATCAACGTTTCAGCGCTTATTGGAGGCGTTCTGTCAGACGTCGCTTTCTGCGCTAGCTTTTTACTGTTCTGGTGACGTCTATAATTACTGACAGATGTTAGAGAAGTCAGAGCTCCCCTCTGGATCCCCCCCCAACCTTTGCACACACAAACAACCATTGCTTTTCAACCTCCCACACAGATACTACAACTCTCCACCTCATACACACAAGGATATTCAAGCACACACACACACATAAGCGGCGGGATTCAGTTACATGGACCTCAGTCGCAATCTGGACAGACACCGGGCCCACCACTAAACAGCCTGGAAGGAAGAGGAGGGAGGATGGATTTAACAAAAAACACTCCTTCTCGTACAGCCACCTTCAATTTGATGAATGAAATCAATAAAAGCAACAGTCTGGAGTAATGTGGAGCCAATGAGCAGGACTATTAGTGAGCAGGAGGGCCCCACACAAACACACACACACTCCAGCATTACCTGTAGAGAAAAGGCTCTGAGCGCCGGGATGGGGATGAGGGCTGCCATGAAGAATGCTGTGACGTTACTGATGGAGGTGAGAGCCACGCTGGCCCCTGTCCTCTTCAGACACTCCCCCGTCCGGTCCTGACGGAAGACAGAAAGCGGCGCAGATGAAAGGAAAGGAAAGCAATGAAACTTTTTGATCAGTTCGTAGCCACGGGCGCATGTGTAATGCTGGAGATTATGTACAATTATCATAATGCTGCAGTGACTGACAGTGATTGCAGTGTTTCTCGAAGCCCTGAAGTGCTTAGATAATCCACCTGGGCCCGTCTAACTCCCCCCGTGGAGACGAAGCAGACGACTTTGCGCCCAACAGCTCGATTTTTCAATATCTCTGAACGCACACCGTCAGAGCGGTGGCGATGAACACCGCGCGCGACCCCCGGAAGGTTTTTGGCGGCGACCGTGTGAAGATTTGAGGACGTGCAGGACCACACAGGGAGTGTCTGCAGGCGTGTGCATCTCCGTGTGTGTGTGTGTGTGTCAGACAGGAGAGATCAGGTTCGGCTCTGTTTAGTTTTCATCTCAGCCACACAAAGGAAGCTTGAGGGGTGGAGGGGAGGATGAGGGAGGCATAGAGACGAAGAGCTGGAAGGGGAGGGTAAGCAGGGGAAAACAAAAACAAGCAAATACATGCCTGTGTTTTCCCCCTCGGCAGATGAAAAGTTACCGCGCTCCCCGAACACACACCCACCCACATGAGATTGCAGAAACGCACACTTTATTTACACTTTTGTAAACTTTGGTGTCTGGCAATTTTGAAGATGTTTGTTGTTTTTGCTTGAGAACAATCGCTCGCGTTACAATCTGCGCTACTTTTGCCCCAAAAACTTGTTTTTTAGAACCACCCAATATTCATCCAAGTAGGCGAAGAAAGCTGGGTTTTTAGGTCAAACAACACATGACACTAACATAAAAACAAAACTTATTATCTGACGCAAACAGCGACGGTTAGCCTTTCTGGAGCGGCGCTCAGATAAGCGGGCTGAGTGTGTGGCACATGGCTTGTTTGATGCTACATCACAGGCACAGACAGGCTTTCACACATTCCTTCCGTGGAGCAGATAAGCCAGCAAAGGGGTATAAACAGGCTGAAAGGTGGATACGCGCCTCACCTCGAATGGGATCCTCTTGTTCTGTCCGGTCTCACTGAAGGCGTGAGCGAGGAGGAAGACGTCATCCACTCCGACTCCCAGAGCCAAGAACGGGAGCACCTGCAGCACAGACGCAGAAAACCGATGAGCTACTGTGTGCGTTTATCTCCAGAGTTTTTGCTGTTTTTGGGAGAAGAAACTACGTGCAGCGCAGCCAGAACCGCATATCACTCCAGAATCATGTAATATTTCAGATGTTGTATCGGGGAAAAAAATAGATAAAGGATGAGAATGAAACATACTTTCTTACAGTCTTAATCATTGCTGGGTGTTAAGCCTCAATCTGAATCAAAATCTGGCATCAGTATAATATTTTAATCTTGTTCACTTATTCTTTCATCAGATAGGTCCTGAAATAAAATTCTAAATCATGCCAACTTGAGTCTATTCTAACGAAGCACATTTTTAAAGGATGTTCTTTTCTTTGGGACAGAAATTCATCTACAGTCGTGCTCAAATTTATTCATACCATGAATGAATTAAAGAAAAGGCAAAATTCACAACAGTCACTCAAATAACCGGAAATTGGAAAAAGTAATAATAAATAAAAATTTGCTAAATTATAATTTAGTGAAATATGACATTGCTTTTGATTTGTGGTTAAAAGAATAATTTAATAAAAAAAAGAAAAAAGATGTTTGATTGAGAGTTAGAGTGATTGCCTCAGAGGGTTGTTCAATAGAATATTATTTTTTATTAGTTTGTTTTTAAATATTTCTGTTGAACCACAATTCAAAAGCAATGTCATGATTTTCATAAAATTTGTATTTATTATTACTTTTGATGATTTCAACTTATTTCAGTGATTTTTTCCTTCTTTAATGGGAGGGTATGAATAAATATGAGCACGACTAGACATCCTGGTAGCTGCCATGCCCCATCCAAGTAAAGGAAGTGGTCCTACTCCACCTCAAACTGTTCGACATGGGAGCATCACCAGCTACCAAAGCTCACCTGTGCCTTCGTGCTCGCTCTTCCTCTCAGTTTTTCGTGTCCTCTGTGAGTGTGAGTGACTAAGTTTTGACTTTCACTAAGCCCAGGGTGTCTTTGAATTACCTGCGTGGTGGCAGCGTTGAAGGAGATGCCCAGGAGAGAGCAGAGGCCCAGACCAGCTGCCACGGACAGTGTCACCAGCAGGACACCCGCCAGCCCCACAGCGCCCTGAGACTTGGCACAGTCCCACCGCAGCATGGTCAGACACGCATAGGCCAGCTGGGGCGCGAGACAGCAAAACAAGCAAACCATTGATTAATCCACCTGCTGCATGTGCGAGTCAATCATCACAATTCTCCTCCTCTAACCGATCAATACAACCCGTTTGTCCTCTTCAATCCAAGCCTAAATGTATTTTCCTTTTCACAAAGACTCCTTTTTTGTTTCTCACCATCAGCAGGTATCCACTGGCCACACGGATGACGCTGATGTCAGAGAAGGACTTGAGGATATCTTCCAGAGTGGTGGTGGTGAAAGACAAGACCTTCTGGGACGAGTTGGCTGCCACGCTCTGCAGCACCGCCTGAAGAGAGAACAGAAGCAGGGCAATGAGGAGAGGCAGAGGGTGAAAAAACTGTTTAGTAAATTACTAAAGGAAGGGAAAGATCAATGCAAAACAAAGCGGTAAATGAGGAAAAAGAAGCAGCACTGTTTGGGATTGTGGATCACATCATTTTTAGAGCTCCGTCTTATTTGTGATCAGCCTCCGTTTATACAACAACTGACTGCGACAGCCCAGTAGGTGCAACTTGAATAGACTCTGCTGCTTACATACATTAGGAGATATTAGTCGTCACAACAACTGGATGGCATGAAACAGCAAACAGTTGATAAGGCTAGCTGCATACAAATGCATTAAAACCCACACAAATGTTAGAATGCAGCAGCTCCGTGAACATTCAAGTTCTGGTTTGATCAACAGTGAGCCTTAAAAATATGTCTTAAACTGATAATCTAATATTCTCAATAAGCAGCTGCTCTTGTTGTTCAACTAAATCAGTGCAAATATGTTTATTTCCCCCCCCAATCCGATCATCTCACAATATACAATTTGCACCAATTTTCCACATGCAACTGATTTTCAGTAGAATACGCAATTAACTCTTGTTATGACTGCATTTTCCTGTTTAAATCATGTTCATTAAAACGTGCATTCTTGACAGAAAAAGGGCCGATTCAATGCAAGCTGCATCTCAGATTAAAGTCGAGCCGAAGTCCGTCTTCCATCCCGTTTGACGAATAACATGTAATATACAGTGAGTTCTTTCTGTATCGAATAACACAATCTCATCCTGTGTGTCTTAAAAGACAAAAAAAAAAAAAAAAAACAGCCCTGAATAATGGGCTCGGCCTCTGCTGTAAGGGAATCTGCAGACAGTACCATGACCCATCCCCTCTCTCTCTCTCTCTCTCTCTCTCTAGCTATCTCAGGGCAGACAGATGGCTTCAACATTGAACTGCAGTTACTGCTCAGTGGGGAGTAATGCTGGCTGACACACATTAGGAAACACGCACTAGATCACACACACACTCGCAACCCAGGTGTAAACTCGCACATGTGTCAGGCGCATACCGACATGCGCACACATTGGTGCAGACACGCCTAAACGCGCACAATATGCACGGAGAAACGCACAATATTTGGCATCTTTTCCTACTTTTATTATTGCTATTGATAAAAAATGAAGAGAGAAAAAAAAGAGATCGCACCTCTTTTTTTTTTTTTTTTTTTTTAAATCAGTGGGCCCATAGATGATAAATGGCGCACACACACGCACTTGCATCTACACACACACACACACATGCGCAGACACACAAGGTCACACCATGTGGAACAGAGGTTGGGCCCCCCAAAACAAAGACCAGATGATGTCACACATGAGCCACCAATGGGGCCACAGCTGGGAAAGCGATTGTGTGCGAACTTTCGAGTGTGTTTGCGAGTGTGTTTGTGCGTGAGTTTAAGAGAGCGAGAGAGAGAGAGAGCGAGGGAGCTAGAGTGTGAGAGAGAAGAAAAAGAGAGATATCCAGCACTCTCTTAATGTATTCCAGACATGCTCACCCCGTCGCTCTATCGCTCCTCTCTACTGAGCAGCGAGAGAAAAGCTTCAGCGCTTTACCACACACCAACAGTGGTTCTAGTATCTATCAGGGGCCGGGGCTTTGGATGGGGCCTTTCCATGTTCACCTGTATCCGGCTGGTGATTTATAATGTGCTTGTAGAGGATTTCGAGTAGATTTCTTTTCTTTTTTTTTCTTTTTCCCTCCCCACCTCTTTTCTGAATCTTTCTCTCGTTTCTTTGGCCCTCACCTCAGAGTATCTCCTCTGCCAGGCTTCCAGTATGGCTGCGGCCTTTTCTTCATTCCAGTTGATGTGGGAAACCTCCTCGTAGCCTCGAAAGTGCTCAAACATCTGCTTGGGAGTCATCAGCTGGAACATGGTCTGTAAGGCCTGGGCACTGGAAAGGAGGGAAGGAGGGAGTGTGGCAGAGGGAGAAAAGGGAGGGGAAAAAAAAACATGGGAAGGATGAAAGAGGGAGAAGAAAAAGGAGGCCGATGAGGTGCGAGACAACATCACATGTGCGCCGGAAAATCAACAATGTGAAGAGGTGGATTTCTGGATTGGACGAATAACATTGCATTATGCACTTGGTTTTATAAATGAGCAAAACACACCAATCAGTAGCAAGAGTGCAAATGCTGTATCTTGGGAAAGCTTTCAACGCTTGTGGCCAAAGAGATACCAAACCAACTGGGAGCAGGAAAAAAAAACGGCAAGTAACTCACAGACCCAGAAACTCAAACTTTGCTTAATTTCTAATCCAAAGGGTCCCAAAATAAAGCTAAAGGTTAAAAAAACATGCACAAAAATGGATAACAGACATCCTAAAAAATGGTGTTTGCTGCATCCATCCATTATCTATACACCGCTTTATCCTCACTAGGGTCATGGGGAGCTGGAGTCTATCCCAGCTGACTCAGGGTGAAGATTGCCAGTCTATCACAGGGCTACACTTAGAGACAGACAACCAAGCACACTCACATTCACACCTACGGACAATTTAGAATCACCAATTAACCTCAACATGTTTTTGGACCTGGAGAGAAACCTGGAGAGAACCCACGCTGCACGGGGAGAACATGCAAACTCCACGCAGAAAGATCCCGGGTGTCCTCATCGGGACGTGAACCAGCGACCTTCTACCTGCGAGGCAACAGTGCTAACCACCGATCCACCTTGCAGCCTGTATAAACATAATATTGTTTCAATCTAATGTGACTATTGAGCCCAGGATACAAACACCATCAGCTTGATTCTTTTGGAATACAGATAATCATTTTCACTTCGAGAAATCTACAAATTATTGTTTAATTCACTGAATAATCCTTTACATTACAAAATGAAACAACTTTCTAAGAACCTGAAGTGACACGTGATCCCAAATCCCTGTTAAGAGCATCAGTATACTGAACAAAATGTTTAAAAAAGCAGCAATATTACTTTAGTTCCATTGAAGACTTATTCTTAAAGATGTTGGTGATTATTCTCTCTTTACCAATTAGTCAGTTTATTGATGTTCATTTAGACAGAAAACGAAGGTACAATGAAACACCTGCCAATATTTAGTAAAGCCAATACGCGGAATTTCCCTTGTAATTCATCTGAAAGTACAATCATCATCATCACCTTAACCGCACAACTCATCACTCTCCCGCCCATTAAAAAGACACTAATGAAGGCAATTGAAATGTGTGCTTCCATTGTATTTCTTCAAAACAAATTCCTCACATACTCTTCTCGCTTTTTCCCTGCACCGACAGGCTTCCCCGTTCAGATTCGAATACTTCTACGAGGCTCCCGATCATCACTACGGCCTTAAGTGTAACGAGGAATACACTTTTTACATTAGGTAGGAAATGAAGGAGTCGAGCCAAATGTGTTTTCAAATCATAAAATTTTTACAAACCGAAGAGGTAGACGTTACTCTGTCGCTCTTTATGAATATGATTACAGCAATATGGTGATAATAACGGTAATGGTGGCGGTTGCTAAACAAGATGTAAAAACCGAGCGAGCCAGCAGAAACAACACACACACACATTCTAATGATCCAACCTTGCCAGGAAAAAACATAACCACAAAACACAAACAACGCACCCCACTGTACTCTGTGACGAGTGTGTGTTTGCCTTTGTGTGTGCATCCAAACTGCAATTTAACGTCAAAGGAAGTGGTCCGCTTGCAAAACGCTGGATAATTTGTGTAGCTAAAGGAAGCTTCTTATTGCTGACGCTTTTAAGTCCTGTGCAAACTTTATGTTTTGTAGTTTTAACTGTGCCTGACTGACTGTAATGTGTTATGTTATGGCATACATGTCTTTTTTTTTTTCTCTGTGTAGATGGTGTGTCCGTAGGTGCATCGCATAATCTACAACTTTTGGCTCCGGCGCTCGTGCTGGAATTAAGTCCGTGTACCCTAAATCGCTGTATATTTGTACAAACTAGCTGGCAATAGATCACTCTGCGCACATGTGTATGAGTGGGCAGTGTCCAAGCGGAGCAGCCCGAGCTGAGCAGGAACAGCTGGAGCTCTAAGATTTCACTGGAATCTGCTAATGACTGCAAGATTTATAGCACACAGCGCACACGCACGCATGCATGCGCCGCTTCAGAGGAGCGTAAGAGAACAAAAAACACACAGTCCTTCCAGAATAAGCGCCGTCGCGATCGCTGCCGTGTTTATGAAGGTGTGTGTGTGTGTGCGAGTGTGTTACCTGAGCAGGGGTCCGCTGCCGTTCTTGGTGGTCCCTCCTACGATCAGTTCCTCCTGCCAGTGCATGTACTTCCTGGACAGACCATGGCAGCCGCCGCTCAGGGCCCGCGCCACATCGAATGGCTGCCGCGATAAAAGGTTAGAAAGTAAGCGTCGAGTCTCGAGCTAGGCTTTTAAATGTCGCGTGCTTGAGGCTAGACGTGTGCCCACCTTGGTTGAGTTCTTATTGGGTGCAGTCAGGGGGCAGTCAGGGTCAGCAGGGTTCAGACAGGGTCTATCCATGTAGCCGTGCCCGACGTCTGCCTTCTCCAACATGTCCTCAAAGCCATCCACGGGGAAGTTTTCCCTTCGTAAGTCCTCGAGGAACTCCTTGGGGTCAAAGTTGGTCCATTGTAGAGGGTCTTTACCGCTGCAAAGGTAAAAGCAAACAGGAGGACGGTTTAACTGTTTATTCATGATAGGAGGCATGTTATTCTAAGGAACGTTCTATTTGTACTTTGGGGTATCCTTTCTTCTCCTAAGTCAGCTGGGACAGACTCCAGACCCCCATGACCATAGTGAGGATTAAGCGGTGTATAGAAAATGGATGGATAGATAATGGATGGATGGATGGATGGATGGATGGATGGATGGATGGATGGATGGCATCTTTCCTTTCAGAATCATTAAAAGTGAACTCACATATTTAGGCTAGCCACACTTATTTGCAAGAGAAAGCCCAAGCAGCCTGATAAAGTTTTCTCCAAGCTGTCCACTGTATCCACTACACTTCACAGACTGACTGTATTGAGGTTTTGAATCACACTGGATAATTGTTTTGGGTAATCTCGCTTACTGATGACTCCAAAACCTTCCTGACTGAGTGCTGATTAAGTAACAAGCTGGAAATTAACTTTTTTTTGTATTGCTAGCTCTTGTTCTGTCATCAGTCTGTGTGCTTTATGTTTATTTTAGGTGTTGTTTCATTTTCTTTTAACCCACTAAACCTCAAGTAGTTTGTGGTTCGTTTTTTTGCCACTGTTCCATTTTTACCCACTGTGGGCTCATTTTTCACTGCAGTTCAAAGTCCTGCACCTCTACGGAAACAGCACAACCATGGCTAGAAGTAGAAAGAATACAAAAATGTCTTGTGCGCAGTGTGAGAAAGCTACAATGCCATAAATCGTACAAAACAAAAGAAAAAACTAAAGTTGGATTTCTCGTCAGCATGTACAAAATAGTGTCCAAGTGTCCACACATGTAACCAATACTTGGAAAAAAACTGGCGACTCTACATTTTACTACTTTCATTTTGAAATCGACTTCCAGTCTTTTCTTCTATCTGCTCTGGATAAACACAGCTTACAGTCCATGAATTTTTGTGATGTGACTGCAGGTTGCAGCCAAGTTAGTCATAGCTTCCCTGTTGCACCAAGGAGTGCAGAGTTTTCTTTTTTTTTTTTTTTACAGAATCTGATTAGAGCAGACGATTTATTTATTTTTTTCAAATGAGGCATGTACAATAAAGTGAATTTGATGAAATCTCAGTATTTTGAGTTTAGATTTGGTTAAGTTTCCTGGCAGAGTGACACGTCACAGATGTTTACGGCAATGGCCATTTGAAAGAACGAAAATATAATGATTCTTTTGTTTTGCTTTACTGTCTGGTTCTGATAAACTGCGCAGTTTTGGTGATTTTGCAACGACAACACGCCTTTCACATCAGCTGGTGGGTTTTTGGAGTTCGGAGGGTTAAATCTGGTCTGCAGGACACTTGCTTTATTAGTCATCCCAGTTAATAAAAGAAGAGAAAGGAAAACAAACAGTGGGAGAACATGTTGTGTTCACATTTGGTTTGTGTTTGTCTCAGCGTAATTACCTCCAAATTTTTTTACCACACAAGACAGTCAAACTTCTGGGAGCAAAAAAAATAATCTCTCTCTTGCTAGGTGACACAAAATAATAAATGGGGATCATTTCCCATCATGCAACGGCTGAATTCCTGCTCCAACCCAGACCTCGTCTCTCTATGCTCTCTATTCCTCACACATTCCGATCTCTCTTTCTCTGAATCTCTCTCTCTCTCTGTCATTCAGACTACATTGTATGTGCTTAACCAGGCTTGGGTTATTATTCCCAGCCTTCCAACCAGAACATAGTAAAAACCTTATTTACCATCTTAGGCCAACGGGTAACACACACACACACACTCACGTCCGTTCGCACATACTGCGATGACAGCGACTCAAGCCGATACACTCTCGCACATCGACAAAACGCATGTATGCATTGATGGCAACGGCACACACACACTATGTGCTGCATGCACAAACACATGCAGAGGTAAAGGTCTGCCGAGTATTACTGTAGCAGCAGGCCATTAGCAACAGAACGGCCAGACAATGGTGTGAGGCCCAGGGCTGGAGAGAAAGTATCGCCAGCGATACGCATGCCAGCAACCACTACAAAAGAGCCTTCAGAGGGGACGAGCTCAGGACACACACACGCACACACACTCGTTCCTCTGTGGTGTCTCTTTGGATGGGCCGAGTGTGTTACAGCAGCTTCGACTAACGGGGTAAAAAAAAAAAACAAGAGATTCGGATCTTCTCCTTCTCGCTCAGTCTTGAAAACGATCGGAACAGCCTACATGCACCGATGCCATAACCAGGAGCTCAGCGCTCAAGGTCCCGTTGTCCCCAAACATCATTTCAATCAGTTTGCCAACTGACCTCACAGCAACGAAAGCTATTGTGTGTCCCCAATTAAGATGCTTTTTTTTTTTTTTTTCTTAAAGCATTTGATCAGTTGGCCGAAAGAGATCAGTCAGTCTAACGATACACTGCAGTCATTTCATTACACCTAAAACACAAATTCTGCCTCTTGTAAAGTTGTTGTGTACTTACGGGAGATAGACCATTCCAGACTGGAGTTTAGCTCCCTCCCAGAAACAGTCCAAAGGGGTGATGATGAGGCAGGGATGTAGCTTTTCTATGATCTAATCGGATAAACACACAGTAAGATCAACACATATAAGGAAAAAAGACAGCAGCTTGTACAGGCTTTCCGTATGAACCAAAACTTGAAATGTAAAGGCCATCTCACCTGATCCACAAAATGAGTTTCCGTGACTAGTTCTCCTGATTTGTAGCATAAGTTTTCTAATTTCCATTGTCTGAAAAAGAGAAGAAAACACGTTCTGCTCAGTTGTTCGTATAAATGGGATGAACAGAACAAAGAATGCTAAAAATGATAAGAAATCTGTTTGAATGCAGGCATGCTATACTAACAAAATATTAGATTTAGCACAACAACACTAGAGACATCACCACAGTTGATTCTGATGCAAAACACCACCGATGGCTTCACATATTTACAGCAGGGCTGCTGTTATATGATTGCACTAAACTGAGACAAAATGGAATTTATGATTTTTTTTTTTTTTTTTTAATAAATAAAACTGCCTTGCCTTATCCAGAACAGGAAAAATATGACGCTTTAATACAAACAGACACTAGGCAAGCCTGGCACACGGGGCAGATAAGGAGAAGCGAAGGTACCTGTTGTAAAGGTAAACATGAACTCTGCTGGCTCGGATAGCTGAGTCCAGGTGCTGCAGGAGCGCGTCCACCGTTAGAACATTGGCTCCCTCCTCCCGCGGCGTCTGGATCATCAGCTGAGGGTTGAACATGGCCTCCTCGCCTATCTTCTGCCGCGTGTACTTCAGTTCCTGGTTCACGCGCCCACCGACTGGACAAAGAGGAGCGAATTGTGAATGTGTGCAAATATCCAAAAAAGACACTGCAAATGTGCATTTAAATTGGTGCAATTTAAGCATCATCAGGCTCAGTTTTTAAATGATTTCTGTGCCTCCAAGATATGTGTTCCTGCTGCAAGAAACACTACTACAGTCTGAAAACTATACTGAAGAAGGAAAGGAGGAAAACTGGTAGAAGGCGTCACAAAGTCCCTCTAAGGATTTAAGTAAAATCAAGAAATGATTCAACTGCACTGTGCTGGATTTGAATTTATGCTTCCAAAAAATACACTCAGACATCCTTAAAATGTCAAGGATGACACAATAAAGGTCATCAAACAAGGTCAACACTTGTTTTGTCTTGTTGTCAGTAGTGATTCAGGGATACAGGCGTCCATAAAACATCGAATCAAAAGAGTTTTTGATCTAAATTAATACGTGAAACATCTGCAAAAACAGATTGTAGATTTTCAGAAAACATATTTTTTGGTTGTTTGCTTGAGGTAACATCAATCAAACTGAAGCTGAGTGGATTTGACTCCGCAGAAATGACTTGACACTGATATTGTCTCAGGTAGACAATGGAAAAGTGGGTTTTCTGAAGGTTTGTGAAGTTGGAGTTCTCCGTTTTTGCAAATGAACTCTTCAAGTGAAAACACTGAGGCCTGATCACAGCAGACTGCAGGTACAGACATCTATCGGCCCGTTCACACGCCCACGAGCAGCATCATGTGTGGAAACATCTGCGACTCAAGCGGTGATCCTCTGTTCTCTCTGCAAAGCATCCGCCCGTCCCCCCGCCTGGCCGCGACACTATCAGACTTGTATCTTAAATAAAAGCACTTAGCTCACAGTGAGCTTGTTAAAACTACAATGGCAAACATCCCGACTTGCTTCGAGTCCAGACGAGCAACAATCGCCCCCCGACAAATCCGCATTTCACAAATAGCTCAACGTTTCGACTCAAATTTGCTAACAAGTCGCCGGTGCCAGGACACGTTGACTGCATATGTGTGTGACACTATGTCTGCGAGTGCATGTGTCTGATAGAGAGGGAGGCTGTCTTCCAGGCTTCGCTCCCAGTATCGTGGTGAGACTAAGCCCTGTGCGTGCGCTCTGAGCTCTGAGCTAGCCCCAGCTACAAAAGCAGCCTTTCAGGCCATTTAGCTGCCCTGCTCCACCCTAGTACAGCCAAGGAAAGTCTGGCAAAGTCTCCTCACAAACACACACACACACACACACACACACAGGAACAAACGCAGGCGATCGCAGTCATGCAAGGATGGGCAAAGTCTCAAATTTTTAGTTGAAAGAATAACAAAAAAAAATGGCCCACAATATTTAAAGCTACACTGGAGTGCATGTTTTGTTGCACTCAAGTTAGAGATCTGTGTGTGTGTGTGTGTGTGTGTGTGCATCCTTCAGTTCAGTGTATCTGTGTCTGATTTACGAGCAGAGGATTTGAGCCTTTCCATCATCAGAGACTAAACGCTCAGCGAAAGCTCGAGCAATTTATAGTCATCTTCTTTCACTTGGTCTCGCACACACACACACTCGAACACACACACACACACACACGACACGAAAAATGTCCGACGAGAGAGCCGACTGTGTGAAAAATCTGTAACATTTTATTATGCCTTAATCCAATTTAACAATTCCGCTCAATTCGTGCAACAGCAGGCATGGATTGAATATTTTTAGTCCATTGTAATGGCATTAAAGTTGAACATAAGCATGCCTGTTCTGCTGGGCCGGACCACCCAGTCAGACCAATGGAACAGCGAGGGAGGGGGCCATGTCTTGGGGCATTAGGAAAACACACTTGATTTCTTTTTTTCTGGACCCAAACAGCATTCCCATCTGATCCTGTCTGAAGGCATGTTTATAATACTCATCATTAATAGCAGGCCTAGGCTAACTGGAGCGACATGCTTTCCACTGCTAGGCCAGCTACACAGCTACGTTACACCAGCCCTCCCTTCAAAAGGAGCACGCATGGAACTGATTAAGACCCGACGCACACTGACAGTGCACTAACAAGTCGACTTGTCTGATACACTCAACGCTCAAAGGCAAAGCTCGCCCGAGGCTCGGTTTAACTGCGCTGCCGAGAGGAAGGATCGGAGCGCAGGTACGGAGAAAAGAGGGCATTTCCAGTCGCGCTTCCACACGTGTGAAGAGATGAAGAAAGGTCTGATTGAAGAAAGATGGGAGGGCCGCGCTTAGAAAGAACTCACTGTCTGTTCTGAACACTTTCCAAGTTGTGGACTGCCACCCAAAGACCTTGAGTTTACAGCAAGCAGCGAGGAATGGGACAAGTCAAAGGAATGTACTCTCTCTCTACAGGAAACAGCACATTACAGCCTCAGGCTTAGAGAATTCCACACTTCACGAGGTTACAAAGTTTTGGGGTCAACACTCACACAGCCTTGGGGTGAAATTAACACCCCAGCTGGACCAAGAAAATGTGTGTGTGCGCACACTTTTGCATATGTGCAAGCATGTGTGTGTGTGAGTGTGAGTCTGTGTGTGTGTGTGTGTGTGTGTACACACAGCTGTGTTTCTTCAATGACACATATTCCCATATTCCTTCTCCTAAGAAAACTGGTTGACCCGAGCATGTGTTGATATGTCGAAGGCGTCCCGCTCCAGCTTCAGCTGCTGTGACCAAAACAAAGTGTCACTGACTTTCGAATGCTTCCCATAGCAGCTCCATTTCTCACTCGCTGGCTTTCTCTTTCGTATTCGATCCTTTCTTCACTGCTATCCCTCTGGTTATTCACTCATGCCCACACGAGGCCAAAGGAAGGCCGTAAATGTGCTCGACTGCTCTGACGAAACATCCAAAACCAACTAAAAATATTTAATTTGCAGGAACAAAAACGGAAATTTTCACACTTGCAGCAGTGCAACTGCAATCTGTGGCATTAAAAATAAAAATAAACGACTCAAACAACATCAATCATCAGATTTGTCAATAAATACATTCTTTAACCAGTTTAGATCTGATCAATTAATCAATTGATTTTAATCAGCAACAACTGTCATCAGATGTACTGTGTGATAACTAGATGGGGCTCTGGCAACATGTGATAGTGATGGATTACCATTATAAATCACTTAAACCATTTAAATCACTTCTTAAAACCCACTTTTATAGACTCGCTTTGGAGTGATGTTCTCTTTTAGATTTTCACCCGTTTCTTTTCCCTGTTTTATCGGTACTACCTGCTGCCCTTCTCTCTTTCTTAATCTACTTTAATCTCCATTCCCCTCTGTGATGTCGTCTTTTTAATCAGTTTTACTTTTCAATAGTGACCCAGTCTGTTCTTTTCCATTTTTATTGTGTAATTTTATGTTTTGAGTGTTTGCCTGTACGTTTTATACAGGTTTTTCTTTATTATGTAAACGCACTTTGTGAATTCTGTTCTTAAAAAGTGCTATACAAATTAAGTTTGTTATTAATCAAACAATTGATCAGTAATTCAAGAAAGCAATAAACAGATGACAGTTTGTTGCAGCGCTAATTATCTCATTAATCATGTCCACACTTTGACTGATCAGTGAACGTGCACCGCCACCTGTATGTGTGTTACTAAGCGCTACGAATGACCTGCGAGTGATTAAAAATCCAAATTATGAAGACGAGGAGACGAGAAGCGAGGAGTTGAGGCCTATCACTGTAGTGGAGCCCTCGGTGTGGGTATTCAGCATGTTGCATAACATTAACCCCTGGTCCCCCCTATTCTCCGAGCAGAGGAATGGGGGGCAGCAGGCACGAAAAGGAGAGAGAGGAGGTTTCTAAGGAACTGACATCACCCCCTTCCCCCTTTCACTTCACAACTCCCCCTCCTCTTTATACTCTCATTTTCTCTCTCTTTGCTCCATTCAGCTCTCCTCTGTGATTGGCCGGATCATGATGGCAATCAGCCCGGCCCCCTCTGTCAAAGCCAGCCCACCGCCGCCCTCTTTCTCCCCCACCTCCCTCGCCAACCTTCCCTCTTTTCCATGCAGCTCACAACAGCGCGGCCCCACCCCCTGCACATCTCTTATGTCTGACAACGGAAGCAAGCCGCACTTTCAAGGAAAACACGCACCACCAGCGAGCAGCGGCCAACGACTCCCGGTAACGCAGCGGAGAAATGGGAGTCTTCAGCTGAACACATCTGCACATACATACTAAAATATTTCTGCAATCAGCCAGAAGCCCCTCTCTATATATTATATAACACCTGATCTTAATGCAAACTTCTACTTATGTGTGTGCAAGACATGAATATACTGTACGTACATGCATGTGGCTGAAAACATCTTTGTGTGTGTGTGAGTCTGAGTGTGTGTGTGTGTGTGCAGAGAAAGGATTAGCTGGATTAGGCCCCATCTCAGCAGGGACCCCCTGTAGTGAGGAGGAAGCCCCCCAAAACCAGGTCATCTCTCTGCTACCACGTCTACAGCGACCTCCCATACCCTGAGCCCCCTGCGCCGCCACACCACCGGCTAAAATATATACGTATGTTAAGAAAGCTAAAAAACTATTTCAAAAGAGTCAAATGTGAAAGTATATAAAGCCAGCTACGCTTTTAGAGAAAATGTTTTGCATGTGAAATGTTTTAAACACAGAAAGTGGCACCTGTTGCATTAGATTTGACAAAAATGTGCTGTTTTCCAATAAGGTCATAGTTGAAATAGGATAAAAACATCTTCATATAAAGGATAAGCAGGTTTTATCTATATGTTTAAGTTAAGGTTGATGTTGAAAAGCTTTAGAGGCGAATGTATAGAAAGCGTCTGATAGCATCTGCTCTTCATTATGAATCCTTGTTGCATCATTTTATCTCTGATCTGTGATTGGTCAGTCTTTTAGGGATGGTTTTCCACAGCGAATCCCCCATCTATACACTTATTTATGAAAATACTGCCAGCATACAGTTATATTGAAATTAAAAGCTGCTTTTATGAGTTTATACCCATTTTCAAGCCTTGCAAAGAG